AATAACAGTTCTTCTGCAATTATTGTCGCACGTTGAAATAAAACTAACGTATTTGATGATGTTAATACAAATTTGCACGATTTTGCAACAGATGAATTTAATAATATTACATATTTATTAGCTCATATTCATTATACTCATTCTAGTAAATATTATGATGGCCCTTTTTTGAAATATGTTGATGGATCAGAACATGGAATGACTATCATTGATGGAATACCTATAGATATGTCTCCGAGTACAAGTGCAATAGAGATTGATCAGTATTCAATAACTATTGATAAAACTCGTTATATTATCCTAGGTGAACTTAAGCAAATAATCATATGGTCATCCGATGGAAAATTTAAGAGTATATAGCTATAGACAAATATTACGTTAATCAATCTACTATACTATCACAGAAAAAGATATTTATGCTTACGAAATTATACTTGACAAATTAGGCCATTTGCATGTTTATGTGCAACCTGGATTCATTGTAAAATTTGATAGAACTTCTAGTACATGTAAAATAGTGTTATATGATAGATTTTTCACAAATGAATGCTTCTTTGGTTATTTATTTACACAGATCAACAGCAGAGATGTGTTTTCATCATCGTCATTAGGGAAACTCACTAAAAACATGTGCTCGAAAGGTTTTATGAAAATATCACAAGGAGGCAAAAAATAGCTGAGGATATCCTTTTGTTAGTATCTTATTTTTGAATTAAACTCTTATATATTGACGATTTTCTACCGTATTTACAGAACTATACACATATGTCATATTCAAAAAGAATCTCATTTCTATAATCGAATTACTTCGATAACTATGAATATTCCCTATTCTGTGACGTTATATAGGATGATTTACAAGGCGTATACTACTTCCATCTGTTTTCTTTGAGATAAATATTCGTTATTGGATATGTCACGCTTTAGTGTTCCCAACCAAGGATGAAGCGATTTCGTCATCAGCGAAAATGCTTTACCATGAGACAGGAATGAAACACATATTCAATCATCACTCAATAAATAACATCGTAACCATTTTTTTAGAATAATTTCCAATGACACAAAGCAAACGTTATGAGCAGATTTTTTATCGAATTCTGGACTACATCAACGACTAGACATTGCTGCGTTTTTAATGCAAAATACCTGTCAACAATTCAATCGGAGGTTTCACACTTATTATTAATATCGCGTGAGTATTTGAAATATATTTATTATTTTCTGTAACAAATCTACTAAGGAAAACATTAATCCTCAAGCGAGAAGATAAAAACCCTTAGAAAATAAATAGCTTTTTAAACAAATCTATCTTGTATCTGGCTTTACTTGTAGTTGCGATCTTTACACGTATGACACCTTCATAACTACTTTCCGATTATATAAATAGATGAGGCACTACAAAAGTTTTTTCGCTTGCCTCCCTCGAGAAACCTAGATAAGAGCTGACTATAGCGTTATGATACTCGCGTATATTTAGGACTATATGCAAAATTCCAGACGTATAAGTCTAGTGCATTGCTGTTATCTACCCACTGCTATATACATGTATCAGTAGGTTTGGTCAGATTTCACATTTCCACAATCTTTGCAGATGAAAAAAGTGTGAATCAAGGTCAAGAAGATTTACGACCTGTATTATTTGCCGAGAATTTCAAGATGCAATCAATCGAAACTTCGATTCTTTTTCAGGTAAAAAGTAATGACTATTAAGAGACGCGATCTTGCGATGTAGTTTGTTGTTCGAACAGAAATCATTAAAAGATCGAAAATCGTCGTACAATAATGCAAATATCATGTCTATTTTGTGTCACATTAGAAATTACGTTTATTTGATATGAAGAAAACGCTAGATTGCAAAATTGCATTAGACATATAAGCCTAAAATTTTGCATATAACCTTAAATATATGTGGGCATCATTGCACTATGGTCAGATCGTACTTAGGTTTGTTGAGCGAGGCAGGCGAAAAAAACTTTTGTAGTGCCCCATGTACGAACAAATTAGCATACCATTCAATTAACATTCTTCGCAAGATCGATAAGCAGGATTTTCAATTCGAAAGCAAAGAAAATTAGTTGTTAAACAGAAGATAATAAACAGCGTTAATCTATTGGAAACCAGACCTAGAACATGTTTTTATAACAGTTGTTTTTGAATAAACTCAATACCCATGTTTGCGAATTGCGGCGTAACTGCGATAAAGATTTCACAGTTGCGCGCAATGCCGATGAAGAAATCGTAATTGTGCCGCATTTGCGACGAAACAATCGCATTTTCCTACAACCTTACTTTCTATTATTCTAGCCACTATTCGGTTACTATTTCATGAGTATATTACTACAGTAAATAGCAATTATGCTACATTCAGTCATATTTATTACATATTTACACACGGTGAAAAAAGTTGTGAAAAAAAGAACAATTATTAGGAAATAGATTCATGCACAAATCCTGTTGAAGGTAGGCAGGACGCAAATTTTAACGATCACGATCACTCTTTTACTCGGATGGGACTAACACTCAACACTAACCAATTGATGTCCATCATTCATCGACAGCGGTCGTGCGCCCGTTATCTACCAAAACACCTATCAATGGCTCATCGGCAATATTCGCCCACCCATCATTCATCATAAACAACCGCCGGATACTTATTACTTGACAAAATAGTATCTGAAACATCATGAATCGAGAAAACGACATTTGAAACCTAGTTGGTCCGCATATGATCATGGCTCATTCTATAAATGACTCACGTACAGGTTAGGTACGAGGGGGGAAAGCGAAAAGTCGGTACTCCAGTATATTCCGCGTACTCCCTCGATGAATTCTAAGTATCTTTGAAGATTGATATTTTCAAAATGACCTAAAACGTCCATTACATTTCCTATTACACCCCGTTCGAGAGAATAATCGTTATTATTCAAAATCATCCGATAGACAAGTTAGGGAAATGCAGTAACTGTGTCAAAATTACGCGCAGCTGGGACACAGTAGTTAAAAAAGAGGCGATATGCGTAGATTTCCGTATTTCATATTTATATAAGTATCAATTACAGAAAAATATATTGTTTCTAATATTTTAGATAAGTCCTAAGTAACATTAAACCGATCTACTATGTCAATTTCTCCTTGATATGTAATTTATCTTCCCTATAATTCCTCTAAATTATTATAATTTGATTTAATATTTATACTACAGATGTATTTCTGATTACTAAATAAGAAAATAATACATACAATCAAATAAAAATTATTTCCAGAGCACAAAATGGAACTTACACCTACGATAACTACTGAACAGGATGAATTGAAAACTAATAACAAACAATCACTTTGTCGCCTAATAATCCACGTTTTCACAGGCTTTCGAGCGCTAGCATGCTTGTGGGTGTTTATAGGACATTGTGGACTAAAAAATATGGATGAATTTGTTGCATTAAATATAAAATGGGTCGGTTATGCTGGAGAAGCAGGCGTTGCAGTGTTTTTCTGTTTAAGCGGTTTTATTATGGTATGGAATTACGGTGACTGTGAATTTAAATCAGCAAGATGTTATTGGTCTTTTATCGGACGAAGAGTCTCTCGATTATTCCCTTTGTATTACTTTTCACTGCTCTTATCCATTTACGATATCAGATGTGTATGGAGTGAAGGAACGTCGTGCACAGTATCAAATTGGATATATATATTATCCACATTATTAATCATAACAACATGGATTCCATACGTGCTTAATACTGAGCGATGGAATTTCGTCACTTGGAGTGTACAAACAGAGTGGTTTTTCTATTTAGCATTTCCTTTCCTCATTCGTTTAATTCGATACTTATTAAACACAACTCGGATCAGTCTTCTTTCACATGTTGAAAATAAGAAAAAGACACTGAAACGTTTGCATTTAATGTGGTACGTTGTTTTATGTATATCAACAATTTTTCTTCTAATTCGATTGATCTTACACGATGACCTGACTGTATCACTTACTCATAGGCAAACTGATATGATTTAACCTTTCCCAATAACACGAATTCCGGAGTTTATTCTAGGAATGATAACAGGTATTATATTCATGTTAAACACATCATCAGATTATTATACAGATGGCTCAGAGATCAATGTAGCTACTGCTTTATTACCCCATAATAATGAGCAAAAACAAGATCAGAAAATGTCATCTTCGAAAGTGAACATCCTGAATTATAATTACAATTGTTTAATATTCGATCTTTGTTTTGCTTTACAAATATTCTTTTTTATTATTATTCTCTCTCCATTGTTATTCATTGATCTGGTACATACGAAATATCGACACATCATAGGATTCGGCCCTTTGCTTTCAATCATTGTATGTATCGATCTATATTTTTCTGCTAAATATACTCACTCAATATAACGTCGAGATTATTGACAACATCACTATTGATAGATATGGGTGAAATTTCATATGCATTTTATTGTCTAGTTGAAACATTATCTACCGTATATTTATCTATGTCGGGTATCATTGAAAAGAGTGCAATTATGAGATTCTTTGCTGGTATTGGTATAGCTGTATTTGCTCGTCATTATATTGAAGTGCCATTTTATACTTGGGCAAATAGAAAATTACCCAAATGCCAATGTCGCTAAGCAATCATTTGTTTTACAATTATCTAAATCGATTAAATATTATGTTTCATATAGCATCCCTTTTTCTTTCGATTTTCTTATCATTTTGATCATTTCAATCGCTAACATACACGAATCCCCAAAACTCAGCTCGGAGATTGGTTGGGTAACATCTATCGTGTCCCATCTCTTAATAAAATTTTTCAATAAAATATTTTCTTTTGTGTATCACCAATTTTCCGTACAACAAACTTAAACATATAAAAGAAAAATAGAATTATCTACACCTCCGAGAGAGGCTCAATTTTGTCCTTTTTTTATCATTTCGTTCTTTTTGTAGGATTTTATGATTGATTTCACGTTTCAAAGAATTAGAACTAAAAAACATATAAGATAGAGAAAGAACACTTTACTTGATTTTATAATGAACAATGATATTTCAGATGAGCAATATTATGTCAATGAGAAACTCTTATTTAACTACATATCTATAAATTGCACCCTGAGTGTGAGGAGATTGTCATTAGAAAATATCACTAGAATTCATAGAATTTTTTATGGAATTAGATGTATTGCTTCTTAGTTTTAGTATCAGAAAGTAGTACGATTGATAAGATCGTCAACGAATACGTATATATCATGTACAGAAAAATTTTCAAAGATATTTTCTTACTCATGCGAAACCTTGAGCAACAAAGGAGAAAAATTATAAGAGAAGATCATTTTGAACTCACAAAAGACTTTTATGCTGAGAAAGCAATGAATTTTTTCATCTTTTATATCTTGTCATATATAGCATTTTACAATAGTGATTTTGCATATTATATTAATTTGTATCTAATCGTAAGAGTAAAAGCACTTTTCTCTTTCAAAAAACGACATTTATTTGGAGAAATTTGATTAAGACGGAGTCTTATAATAGTTATCTTCATATCGAACTAGATTCAATCAATATGGTATAATTACATTAAAACACGATTGTTCTATGGTCCCATGTTTCTATGGATCACGGTGTGAATTCGCTTCCAATAGGTATACTCTTTCCTTGATGTAATTTTCGGCTATTATATTCAGCCATTTGTGTCCATAAAACAACAGCCAATGATTGGTCGAATGAGTCTATGTTAAAATCTAAACAAAAAGAGCTAAAACAAACCGGCTGGTGAATTTATCTTCTCTGTTCATCAATGACAATAGTATTTCTTACAAGTATGTTTGCCATTAAGTTCTTTGTACTTCTCAGTACACAAACTACATATGTGGCAAATTTTTTCTTTTTACAAATTCAATGTCGAACTCTGAATTTTTTTAAACACGAGTTGACCTTATTATGGGCAAGATGGTTAAATGCATGCGTCGCTCTTGAACGTCTGGTCGCAATCATCAAAGGAGTTCGTTGTAATAAAAAGAAAATTCATTGTTTTTCCGATATAATTCTAATCTGGATTTTTATTTCATTTCATGGGACACTTCGAAGTGTTCAAAGTCTATTATGTATCAATTTCGAATATCTTCCTATCGAAATTTTTAGTCGAAATGCTGTGAACAAATGATTCGTCGCTTATGAAATGGCCACTGTTTACGCTGAATGTCATATACAGAAAATTACATTACGATTCAGTAGCTTGCTTCCAGGCGAAGACATATCAGATAGTGTAGTTAGGTTTGGCACTATATAGTGAGATATATCAAGAAAGATGGTATATTCACTGCTCATATTTTGTTAACTTCATAATCAAATTCTGATGAGCGTAAAAAACAATTTAAACACGACTGTGGTGATTGGCTCTTTCAAATGAAGCTTGATAGTTTTTTCGAAATTAGTTTTCAACTGCTTGTAGGTGAAAAAAAATAAAACACGTGAGTTTCATAGTCTTTGAAACAGAATTCACTTTGGAGATCGTTCTAGCAATCGGATCAGTTAACTGACAAGGATATAATGTCAGTCATATCTTCTGAGAACAAGACAAAATCTTGTCCAGAGCATATTTGATTTAAGATCTAATTTGACTTTTCTTTACTCATGGTTCTTTCGTGATTATCACCAGTACAACAGCTTAGCTACTATTTCAAAATTGCAAGTGAACATTGAAGAAAACTATGATGTTTTTTCGCTACATAAAGCTTTGGGTTTCTACGACGAATCTCTGACAACCGATTCATCACTAATGTCTGTATCGACTTCTATACTTGTTACAACGTGTCAATTCCGGGAAACCAACCTTATAATAAGTTTCCGTGCACCTATAATTCTATTCACCATTTGTCAATGAACTGTTAGAAACTTTTTAATCGAAACAAAACATGAACTTCTTTATTTTGCATTTTTGAGCAGGGTATGTGTATGTGTACGAATATTTATATTTTATTCATACCCTCACCCTCATCCTTCAACATTTTGATGATTAATCAGAGTTTTATTCATAGTAAGAGTTTATTGACCCGCGCTTGTTGCTGAATCAACGTAGACGAACTTTTGGAACACTGGTGGTTGTCTTCGAGTGGATTTCTGCTTGGCTTTTTTTCCTTTTTCTATTTTGTCCATTTCTTCTTTTGCTAGATCGATGCCTAAAACATATTTTAAAGCGTCCATAAGAATAAAGAACATCACTGAAACAGTAATAAATATAATAGCAACGTATGCTAACGATTTGGCAGCTATTTGATGAGCAATCATTGTCTGTCCGACCACTTCACAATGACGACCTGAGTAACTCGTTCCAAGACATTCACATGTATAATTAAGAACAATGACCGACAAACACCACCATTCTTACATTTGTTGCTTTCACAATAATTGATTTGAGTCTCACAATGTGCATTTGCCCAACCATATGCACATAAACATTCATAGGTCTGATTGGATGTTTCATTACATTGCCCTAAATATGAGAAAATGTTAGTCGCAGATCTGAATGAAAATATACCACTATTGAAACATGTATTTAGCTTGCATATTCGTCGATCGTTTTGACATTCTGGGCCATCGAATCCTTGTAGACATTGACAAAGATAAGCATTAACAGTAGTATTATCATTAAAACAGCTGCCACTGTTTTGACATGGATTGATCGTCTCACAAGGTCTATTAGAAACGTTACAATAGACGCCTGTCCATTGCTGATCAGCACATGTCGATGTAATGAAGAGGAGGTGGGATGAATTCACTAGAATGAGCAAACAGATCGGTAATTACATGAACATCACTAGTAGTCAATATACAACTGATCGTGACGAGTGAAGTGCTGGCAGAGAAAGCTGAGGTCAAATCTATGTGAGTATTAGAAGAAAAAAAAAGTTCATGTTCAGCCACTTTGAAGTTGAATAATACAAGACAAACTAGTGGTAGTTGGTGTTGATCCTACAAAAGACATGGAACACGTGCAAAATATCTCCCTGGTTGTTTATGGGATTATCAATAAATAAGATACCTGTTTGATTGAGAACAGTTGTTGATGTGATAGAATCAGGAGAGGTTTGAACTAACAAATAAAGCAGAACAAAGAAAATTGTTACAATCGACAGATCATGACGTGCACACTGTTGCCTGTGGTCGACGTTGAAGTCCATTCGTCTGTTGTACTCGGCTGGCTTGTAGATGATGACTGGTCAGTTGTAGTTGCGACTGATGTTGTCAACTCAGCTGCTGCTATTGTTGTCGTCGATTGATCTATAAGAAATAGGCAAACTGAGAGAAGAATGAGTGACTGTGCAAGTCCAATAATATCCAGAAGTTTTTTGTTCGATCTTCGTACTACTCACAAGCGTATTTTTCACTTACTACATTCATTTTTGGATAAAACAAATTTCTGAATTCGACCGTTACCGGAATCTGATACAAAAATGTTTCCGGCACTGTCGAAACTTAAAGACCACGCCGAAGTCAGTTGATAGGACGCTGAACCGCTTGTTCCCAAACAACCTACTATACATCGAAAACCATTCACACTTGAACCAACAATACGATTGTTGGAACTGTCGAGAATAAATAGATTGTTATCAGCATCCATTACAACTCCTGTTGGACCATTGAGTGTGTTGGGTGATGTCAATACATTGACAGACACGGTTGTTCCGGTCAAGTTTCCCAGTTCAAAGGATTGAATTCTATTGTTGCCGTAATCAGCCACATATAACTTAAAATTGACTGTGACAAAGATTCCACTAGATCTATTCAGTCTTGTCGATGTAGATCCAGGAGTACCATCACCTGCGACAGTGATGGAACTGCTTGTTGAACTATTTAATGATTGGCTAATGACTTTATAAACATAATACATAGAACAGTAGAGAGTATTATTGATGTCAACGAAGAGACCACCACATTCTCCAGAAACAGTGATATTTGACGAGGATTGCGTTCCATTCAATCCCCATTTCTCTACTCGATAGTTGACGGAGTTGTAGTTGATATCAATGTAAATATCATTTGTATCTGTTATAAACACACTCCAATTATCCGAGAAGATCGTGGGAAGAATAGTAGTTGGATTGACACTTCCATTCGCCCAGATAAGAGTTTGATTTTTATGTCGATTCACTGTGACAACAGTATCATTGGTGTCAACGAAGAGAGAGTAAGGAGACAAACCGACAACACTAACGGTGGCAAATGTAGTAGCATTAGGATGCCATGATGCATTTGGGCAGAATTTTGGCTGGTTGTATGATACAGCTAAAAGAACATAACAACGATCTAGTTTATAAATTGTTCAGTTATAAAATAGGCAAAGAAGCTGATAGACTACAGAATTGAGGAAACCTAACTTATGGCTTGCAATGAGTAAAACAGGCTTCTAATATTTCTATCCGATTTGTTCGGATAAATTATTTGTTTTACCTTTCACTTCACCAATCATAAGCATGGTCCAAACCAACGCGATATAGTAATCCATTACGTATACGTACATGCGAATTTTTACGGACTGATTAAAATGCACAGCAAGTCGATCCTATCACTCTCTGTAACACAATATAAATGTAAATATATACATCTAGCAATAAAACATGCATCGGTAATACAAATCAGAGCTTGATTAGTTTCGGAGAAGCATGAATTCTGTTATATTATTTATATTTACTTTAATAACGTTCATCGCCGAAGATGATCAAACAAGTTAAATTGAAATCTCGTAAGAAATGAAAGCAGGACCAGGGTGAGAGCATAACAAATACAGTGAAATATGTCTAGTCTAAATAATTCTACGCACCGTCAAAGTTTATCAAGCTTAAGAGGGTGATCCTATATAAGTCACAGATCATGATCGAGTATCTCATGAATCATTTCTTTGATTTCAATTGTCACAATAAATGTATTTTCACCGTGAATCAGCCAGTAATCACAATATGTTTCAAATGTATCCAATTTAATGCATTGATAGACGAAAGTACTTCCAGAAGCCTTAGAGTATCGCGATCCATATTACGCACGACGAGAAAGACAAGAATTGCGAACCAAATCGGGTTCAGGTGAAACTTTCTTTCTACTTTCGTTTTACTCATAAAATATTTACTGACAGATTCGCATTTGTGTGTTATTCACAATTTAGTTATTATCAAAGGTTGATTATTTTCTGAATTATTTAAATAATCTATGAACAATTGTTCATGTCTTATTCCACCTCAAAACAGTTGACTTGTGTTAGAAATTGATTGATGTTATTTACAAGTATATTGACAATCGACGAATATTTATTAGAAAGAAAAGAAAAAGCATCTCTTCATTTCAGCATTAAAATCAGTTGAAGGAATCCGTCTCAGAGAATACTTTGAACTTTGTCCAATATCAGCAAGTAGATTTAGTTTGTAGTCAAATCTCTGTTCGAATATAAGATAACCATCGTTGAACTCGGAGGCCCGTTCAATAGTCTGGTATACAAAATTACGATAGATCATATAATAGAATTTTATGTTTAGATTTTCATCTAAAAAATCAATACAACATTAATCATGCGAAGCAATCAAATCAAACGCAACGATATAATTTTTATTCTCTATAATCATAGTCTTCATCGAACACTTGCAAATCAGCACAACTGTACAGCAAATGATTAAAAATAGTTTTCTGTTTTAGATGTGCATATAGTAGGAAAAGAAGATTAATGTGTTTTATGCTCACTAGCGCATCACTTATAACAATCATATTGGTCATTCTGATCCCGACCGTTTGTCTTATAAAAAAAACATTCTACAATATCAATATTGACAACGTAAACAGCAACTCGAACGATCAAACACAGCAGAGGCAGTAGCGCGAAGTTCTTTACCGGGTGTAAGAGATGTTTGTTGTCTTTTATGATATTCATTTGCATACTTTTCACACTTGTTCCAGTCAGTGAAGCGAAGTTCTCATCGAAAATATTTATTCTTCGGATTTAGCATTAGATAAATACCGATTTCTTTATGTTTGTAATCAAGAATTTAATGAAATTAGAAGATGGGAAAATGAAGAAGGAACGCTAGTGACTGGTGGAAATGGAAAATGAAATCAGTTGAATCAATTTGATCAGCCCACATCTGTCTTTGGTAATAATGATTAATCGACGCGTAATGAACTATGGGGGAAAGATGCGAACGAAAGAGTCATTATAGTTAGTTTACCCGTGAGAGGAAATAATTCTAATCAGTTCGATTATCTTCATGATATATTAGTCGATCGTTTTGGACAAATCTATATTGCAGATTATTGGAAGCATCGAATAATGCGTTGGCGTGAAGGAAATGATCGAGTTCAACGATTTGATTTCATTTTGAAATAAAAAGACATTTCAGGAGTTCATTGCGAACACGAACGAAAATAAACAGATCTCAATCTCTTAACAAAATAAAATTTATTGCTACGAAGTATATCAAAATGCCAGAGATAGATACAATTGTTTCTTTTCTTCTCGAACTCATAATACGGCGAGTACGCCGCGTCTTTCTCGATCAAACGCTGGTTGCATGCCAGATGATTGTGTCGAATATTCAAAGCTAGTTATAATTAGTCTGTATTTTGTTCTGTTTAATTTCTGTTGTTTTAAAATTTTCTCTCGATACAAAACGTCGTATACACTCTAAAGGTATACATAAATTTGAACCGAGAAAAATCACAGATAACGTGTCACCATATTTATATAACTTAATGGATTAACAAAAATTTTTTAAACTCGTGTTGATATCCATAAAATTGAATAGTCGAAACTATTCGGCGGGTAAGAGTATGGACCTCAATCTTTACGAGAATCGTACCCAAGTACACACCAGTTTCTCGTTTCACATGCGTTGTGAATATATGGGATCTTCAATGATCGAATGACTACTTTGACGACAGAAACAAATTCACCAATGCTTCTATTTGTATTTTTCGGTCTCTATTTACACTACACGAGTTCGTTTTTTTGATTTTTACGGACAAAATAACTGTCGATAGGCAATCAATGCTGTAAACACACAAAAAATGTTTTTCTCAGTGTCAATATGCATATATGAATGTTCGTTTTATAGGTACAAAGTGTAAAATAGTCGATAAAAGATACGATAATGCAAAATTTCATGACAATCAGGTTAGCTTTACAGAAGCTATCCGTGCTAATGGACGAACAGATTGATCGAATTTATTAGTAGATTTGCTCTTGGGTACATCGATAGTCCTCAACGGCAAAAGCGAAAGTTTACCTTCACGTCTGCGAGCAGTGTTTATCTTTGTGATGAAAGCTTTCTATTTCCATAAGTGGTGCATTATTTCAGCATCACAACATCGATTCTGTTTTCGTCTTGTTTACCTGGATAAAGTGAAAAGTGAAAAATCGCAGCATTCTATTATTTTTGCCATTCTTGCTGGCTGCCTCAAATCAAAGCAAGTTCTTCTTAAGATTTATTGTCGCAATTGTTAGCAAAAAGGGTGTGGGTGAAAGCGGGTGAAAATTTTATATGATTGGAATCGATGTTGGAATGGTACTAGGAATCGGAGAAACGAATTCGTGCGTGTTTTTTGTGAAATTTTCATGTTTTTTAAGGATTTTCTTGGAATTCTTTGCATTTCCCATGAGTAAGGAAAGATATTTCCAGGAATATTTTTTCTGGAATAGATAGAGCTGACCAATTTCTATCTGGAACGAATGTTATCAGAGTTGGAATAAAGTCGTGTGTGAAACCGTTCAAGAGAAGGTTGAATCCTTATCCAAGATATCCTACATCCGTGAACGTGTGTTTGAAAAGTGATTATAATACTGGTTAATTTGTTTCTAATAGTTGTCTGCTAACAGCAAGTTTGCTCGTCGTAACTTTTATACATATTCGTTTGATGTTTTTCTTGCGAAAAACGATATACAATTTTATCGATCGATTTTTATTGTTTTTTGTTTTTAGAACGTCTCATTCATCTATCAGTTTGAGAAGAATTTAAAAATCTGTTTCAATTCTCAATATCCTTTTATTTTTTGTGGCTATGGTATGCACGATCGCTTCGGCAAACTGTGTATCTGCTGTGCAGAGAACACCTTGTTTAGATAGTGATGAGCGCAATAAGGCATACGTACCATATCACAAGCTTAGTCATGACGAGATGGTTCGCTTGCGTTTGCACGATACGTTGATTAATGTCGTCATTGTCACATATATGATGGGTGGCTATGTGGCGGCTCTATATTTGATAATGTGCACGAATTCATTAATGACTTTGATTGCGGCAACCATACTACTTATGCACACTATGATTGTGGCACTGACACTTACTCACGAATGCTCGCATAGTTGTATCGCCCAGTCAACATGGCTTAATCATGTAGTTGGCGAAATTACCCTGGTGATATCGGGAGCGTTATACGTGCCGTTTACTGAGCTACAACGACAGCACAATGAGCATCATGCTGTTCAGGTCGGGATAGACTCGTATCAAGTCTCACATATTTTGTCGACTTGGCCACGTTGGTTACAGATTTTAATACTTCCACTGGAAGCCTGCTACATCCCAGTGCTATCATTTATATCCTGGTGGCGCACACTGATCGTACCATTATACGTACACAAATATCAACACTTACGTAAGCGGATTGTTATCGTGTTTGTATTACGACATACTTTCTTCTATACCATGTGGTGTATACGACCAACTTCGCTGGTGTGTTACTTTGCAGCACATGTGCTGTTCATCGACGTCATGCGTGTATATGACGCCTATCACCATACTTTCCAGATTGTGTCACGAGGTACGCTACCACCCAAGCACGATTTTGACTACGAACAACAAACGACCTATTCTACGGTGTTTGGTCGAAACACATTAACTCGTCGTATGCTGGACATGATATTTTTGAACTACGGTTATCATAATGCTCATCATCGATATCCAAGAGTACCATGGCATCGACTGCAAGAGTTAGACGCAATAATGTATCCTAAATCGAACGGGCATGTTATACGTCTCCCAGCTGCACTGAAAGAATATCATAGAAGACGTATCGATCGGATTACTCAAAAGCGAGGCGACTCGTTCGGTAAACCAAAACTCAATCCAGCGAAAGATGCAGATAGCCTGCTGATAAACGACTACATTGGAGTTGTGATGAACATATCCAGCTTAGTATTGGACGTCGACGATTATAGTTTGCAAAGACATTAAAATTTCAGACGTTTTCAAACGCATTGACCTGTGTATCCAAGATAGAATTAGATCTCTTATTTTCAACGTACTTTCTTCAACAATCCCTATGAACTAAAAGGAATACAATGTCATTGGCTGAACGACATTTTGTCGAAAAATACAGAATAGCATGGAAAAGGATGCCTGGTCGCAGAATTTCCACTATCAATGGTACATTTACTTTACTTGGCAGTTATGTAACTTAAGTAGAGTAACTACCAGTAAAGTAAATGTCAAGGACCATTCGTAATCTCTGCATGCATTTTGTTTTTATTCATTACTTCTGATGCACGTTGTACGATTGTTCTTTTGTCAATGATCATCACACAGGATTTATTAGGTATCAATTAGCAATTGCTAGGTTGTAAAAAAATGAAATTACACTTTGAACTAGTAATTCATTTCAATCGTTACTCTAGTATATTACAAAACTGGTTCAGTTTTGACCAACACTAAAAGTCATCAATGAACGCTGGTCTCATTAATAACACTGATATGTGAGTTCCACTGATATTGACACTGCCTTCGGTGTTAACTTAGACATTGAGACAATTGATATCATAGAGTATTGATCTACTAATCTCGTGCTCTTCTTCAATTCAGTTCGAGAATAAGGAATTTCACTAGTAATCGTTTTCCTCCGAAAAACTAGTATGAAGCTAAGGATCATCAATCTGAATTACAACGTGACGGACTGGTATTGGTAAATATGCCTTAGGAAAACTTAAGTCCTTACCATGAAAGTTGCATATGTACATAGATTCAAATTGTAATGAGCAAGTTATTCATGGTTATGATCACGTATGTATATCACTTTTATTTAAAATCCGTACTAATTACAAAACACCATCATATATGATTTCAAGTTTTAAGTTGATATCGACTGAAGTATCTTTTTCCAATTCATAGAATAAAACTTCTAGTAACAAGACAGATTAATAAATGTTCTCCAATGGATTTTGTGGTACAGCAATTAAACAAACTAATCAAACAATACAATAAATTGAATAGAAAAAGAGAACGTAACTTTTGAAAATTGAAATTCTCCTATTGACACTCAAGTAGATAATGTAAAATCGAAAGCAGAAGCGGAGAAAAATAAACAAGAACGTTATGCTCGAATACAAAAAATACACTCAATGGAGAAATAGGGTGGGTGTGTTCCAAGATACTTACTCAGATTGAACAAATTCGTGATTTACATTGTTGTTCGTGTCGATAATCGCACAATTTTGAAATGCATATGAAATTGGTTGTAACATTAGAATCTTGCACAACGAGGAAGTCGAATGGTAATCACGATCGTATCGAATGATGATCGAAGTAACAGTGTATTTTTCACGAATGAATAATACTAGCAGAGTAACTGAAACATGAAAACCAGATTTAACAAACATGTATTATTCTAATCTGAATAACCTGTTTAACTCAGCGGATATCTATGTTCACCAATGCAGAATCAGTATAAATCTAGTATAATGATTCTCTACAGAAAAATGTGTTTAATCAAAGATAAACAACACCTTTTATAGATCGCATACGAGCGAAATAAAATGCAGGCAACAACAAGAGAACGTGAATATATTATATGAATATATCGGCGTCGATAAAAAGAAACAGTAAATCTATACATCTAAACGAAAGTGAGATATGAAAAAATTATATGCGTCAAACATCATTCGTATGTGCAAAATAAAACAAAGATGACAGAGCATTGTTGATTATATAATGCTTACATTCTGAGCTAGAGAGGCGCATGGAAAGGTATTGCGCGAAGGAAATAAAGAATCAGCAATTCGAACAGCGAATGATGGGATAAAATAATACTCTTCACGTACAGAAAGTTTAGATGTATGTAGGAAATAACAACAGAATGAGGAAAATTGTGTGAATGGGACAAGCAAACGACCAGAACGCAGAGTTAATAGGTAGAATAAGTCTTATTTATTAAGGTAACAATGTCACTGGTCAGTAAACTGACACCGCACATCTCTATTTATTGTTAGCGAAAGCTTGTGTTAAAATTGTAGGACAGAAAGATCGCGCCCTGCCCTACCATGCCCTGCCCTGTCCTGCTCTGCCTTGTCCTGCTCTGCCCTGTGGACATCTCAGATACATATTAAGCTGAATAAGCGTGTGACTCACTTATCTCTACATATATGCACATACGCAGATCGATAATTTATTATCATAGAAGAGAAAGAATCAAGAGAAAAAAGTGGAAGAAACATGCAGTACAATATATTAATATCGATTACAGTCAGCATACGTCGTCCCAAAATAAATTTTGTAAATAATTTAATATCATAATATTAGTTCAAATACCATCAGATAACATAGAAAGATAGAGCCTTTTTTCTATCAGATTGTAGAAAAAATTAATTTCTTGAAGCCTTCTATAGAGCGAAGGTGCAACTGGCACTGCTTTTGGTATACACGAAGTATTTTTCGGCAAAATAGGAAAGAAAAAAAATAGTCCATGCGTCATGATCGATTTGTTATGACAAGCCGTATCACCTGCAGTATTCGGCTTGTTTACTTACCTGATAAAAGGTATCTATGAAGAATATTCTCCAGAAAATGTCCTTGGGCGAAATGACCATTTCGTTTTCCCCCTCTCATTCATACTTATGTGGGAGAACGAAAAATAGAACGATGTTTTGCCCGAAGACATTTTCCAAAGGGTTGTCTTATTGTGAACCCCTGAAAAGACTAGTTATACCTACGAAATCGATCAATACGCAATATACTTCACGAGACGCGGAGCATCATCATCAATAAAACTTTAGATCACGTTCTTTATACCCGGTTATACATATTGAATTTAGAGAAATTATCTTTAAATACTGGAAAAAGTATAAAATCCAGAAAATCTCACATTTCGAAAGTATATATTTTTCGAAAAAATGCTACTTGACTAATATATTACAGCTTTCAATCAGAGAGAGATATGAGTCAACGTTGAAAAGTGAGTTTTCGTATTCAACAGTCCAGATTCTGTGAAACGACGAAGAAAGTGGTAGTTTTACCTTGACGTGTATATTGCCGGGGCCTTACGATATTTGAGGAAATAAAAAGTTATTTCGTTGCAACTTTGAATGGATATTTTGTTCGTCGACGAAAACTTTAATTCGGAGATTATCACTTTAAATAAATGAGATGGCAAAGTGCCATAAGTGGCTACCTTTGTGTGAGGACTATGTTCTGTTGCGTTCATATTACCAGATCATTATAACGGCTGTGTGAACTGAGTGAAAGCTTTCAGCTTATGTCATGCTCGTCTCCAACGTATGATAACGTAAGAGAGATGGGGGGAAAAGGTATTGTCGATATGCTTGATTGCACCAATTTTTTTCAAGCGATATTCACTTACACGATCATAATCATATTCGCAAAGGTGAATATAAAAACAAAAAGATTTTTATATTAAGGGGTGCATAAAAGAGAAAGAATAGAAGCATATCCATTTATTTATTTTTGAGCTACACATCAAGGTAAATATTCATTTAATCGCGATATGCACTCGTTTCAGATCGAATTTTCTTCCTCTTAGATATAAGATCATTTATAAAATTGAGCCAAACTGTTAATCATTTAAAAGATACATCAATCAATCGTAATGAATACATCACCAAGGTATGAACAGCAGCCTGTCATGTTATTGCTGTTAAACATATTTCGTTTGTTTGCAGAGGACGACGACTTATCAAACGTACTATCTTATGCATTTCTTTACTATGGGTATTAGGCGTGTTTTCGGGTTTTGTCGCTATGTTCTTTCCACGAAGTGACAAAACTGGTACCACGTCGGTTGGTTTCACCGACGAAACAGGTATGTAAAAATAGATGTTAATGTCAGTCCACTCACAATTTGAACAATTTCACATTCTTTGTAGCTTCGGCTACTACTACTCTCAACTATGAAACAAACCTCGCAGGCAATGGTTCATTAGAGATCACTGATCTGTCAGGACTAGCTGATCAAGTAATGGTTATTTGAATGAAAATAATTCAACTTTAAAAAAATATCTTTCAATTTTGCTACAGATTGCAAAAATGTACAAACTATCCCGTAACATGATACGAGTACTTTCAGCTCGATTCGTACAAAGTCTCATATTGACCAGAAGAAAACGACAAAGGTAACTCTTAGACGGTCTACTGTTAGACTGGGCTTAAAGCTAAATATTGACAACAACGAGCAACTAGGAGATAAGTTAGGAGTCTATTCCTGTCGATACGAAAAATAATCTAACAGTCGATTTATGATCCTTTGAGTAATGTCGTCAGAGTGAACAAAAGATACATAAAGAGTTATTGCTAAACTAGAAACATATTTTACTCTATCTCTTAATTTAAGCGCATCGGGTACTAATGCCACAAATCCACAATCGAAGACCGTACTGGCTATTGAAACAGAATTTATCTATCCACAGTCATGCGGTCAAATGAAAGCGTGTAAAGATCGCTATATAGGTGGTATTGAAAAAACAATTCAGAGAACTGACTCGGCGGTAACCTTCGCGATATCGCTTAACAACGGTTTAAGTCTGAATCTTGGTGCTACTTTTTCTACAATGGATATAATAATACTGACTACAACTACAACAACCACCACTACCACTGAAACTACAAGCATAACAGCGACATCGATTATCTCGAACGCCAACACAACACCGGAGCAAGCTGCGAGCACCTCAGAGACAAAATCCATCACTGAATTTACCAGCTCAACAGAGCAAATAGCATCGACGGAAACGACCACAGAAAGAACAACGATAAAGACTACCACTACAACTACAGAAACTATGACGACAACAACAACCGAACCAAGTACTACTACCACAGAAGGTGATACTACTACTAGTACCATAGGCGCTACTACTATTATTACTACTACAACTACAGAAAAACCAACAACGGAAACTATTTCCACAGATACCGGTACTTCCACACATACCACTACTACCACCGAGTCAAAAACAACAACGACAGAAACTACTAGCACCGATTCTACTACTCCAACAGAAACACCGACAACGACAGAAACTATGACTACGACTACAGAAACAACAACAATAACAACTAATACAAGCACCACTACAGCGATTACCACAGATGGCCCTACTAGTACGACTACCATAAATGCTGCTACTAGTACAGACACTGCTACCACAAGTGAAACAACAACAATGAAAACTGTTTCCACAGATACTACTACTAGGGCCACAGCTTTTATTAGTACTAATACTACAGATGCTACTACTTCCGAAACTATTACTACAGATGCTACCACATATGCTACTACTACAACGACGACAGGAACAATGACAACATCGTCGGTGTCAACATCAACAACAATCAACACTACGACCATACATGCGTCTACTACTATTACTATCACAGATGGTACTACCACGACTACTACAACCGCAGAAACAACGACAACATGGTCAGCGTCGACATCATCACCAACGGAAACTACTACAAGAGCTACTCCAACTGCGACTACCACGGACGCTACTACTACTAGCATAGACGCTACAATTGCGACCACCAGAGATGCTACAACTACTACGACAGAGCCCACAACTACCGGTACTACTGCCACAGCTAGTACAACTGCGACCACCGCTGATGCTATAACTACTACAGAGACGACTACGACGTCAACCACAACAGAAACAACTACGAAGTCAATTACTACAACAGAGGCTACAACTACTGCAACAGAGACTACAACTACCACAGAGACGACTACGACGTTAACCACAACAGAAACAACTACGAAGTCAATTACTGCAACAGAGGCTACAACTACTACAACAGAGACTACAGCTACTACAACAGAAACAACTACGACGTCAACTACTACAACAGAGGCTACAACTACTGCAACAGAGACTACAACTACCACAGAGACGACTACGACGTTAACCACAACAGAAACAACTACGAAGTCAATTACTGCAACAGATGCTACAACTACTACAACAGCGACTACAGCTACTAGAACAGAAACAACTACGACGTCAACTACTACAACAGAGGCTACAACTACTGCAACGGAGACTACAACTACCACAGAGACGACTACGACGTTAACCACAGCTTCAACGACAACATCAACCACAACGGAAACAACTACGACGTCGACTACTACAACAGAGACTACAACGTCGTCAATCACAGCTTCAACGACAACATCAAACACAACATCAACCACAACGGAAACAACTACGACGTCGACTACTACAACAGAGACTACAACGNTGGCTCTCCTGGCTTTGGTTCTGGCTCTGGATGTTAAGGAAAAGTGTATTTATCATTTGGATATGGCAGGAATTAACCTTTGCATGCAGAAGACGTCCGCTGAGGACTGGAATCGTACTGGACTCTGTGTGCTTCTATCCGCAATTGTATTGTGTCTTTTTTTTTGTTATTCATTTTTTACCTCTAGTATTCAGCACAGTGACTGCCTTGCATATTCTTATATAGTGAATGATTTATTTTCGTATGTTTCGGTCAAAATGCCATATGATGTGCTATAGTGTTTACCAGAAAGTTCTCTGTTTTTGTTTGGGTACCAACTGATTTCGCGGAAATGGAATCTGTTGATCGGACAAACTGAGCAGTCTGAAAAGCTATAATTCTCCTATAGGGCATAGTAGGCATAATGGGGATATTAGCCGCTTAAAATATGGGATTCTGTCTACTGAAGGGATCTGTCTTAGTGAGAGTGTGGAGTGATTGTCGGTGTCCTATATGCCCCATTATGAAAAGTCCGTAATATGGTTTAGGTCCATCTGGCCCGCTATGAACTATTCCATATTGAGAATTATGGGCTTAAGTTAGAATTTCTCCTTTTCCCAGAAAACGCTATAACGCATCAGATCCTTTTTCTTTCCTATGGTTCTTCTAAAGAATACATTAGAAAACCATGTAATGGTTTATGCGAACATACATTACGTTCATAAACCTAAGAAGGGTTCATGTCACGACGATCAATCCTTTGCGAGAGTTAAAAATTCGACGCTTTTTTTGCAGTGCATAATTCATCCAATGTTGTCTGTTTGTATTTGGTTAGAATGGATAGCAACGTTTAGTTAAATTGCATAGAGTATTAATTGTATATGACGGACTGGTAGCGGATGCACTTGTTATTTCGCTTGACTTATTTACACAAGATTTAGCTGTCATTTTATCAGTAATTGGCTGTTCAAGAGTTGCATATGTTTCTTTTTCTTAACTTCATAATTGTAATTGGTTGATAATATCACTGTATATATATAGAAGTGGGTGTGGATGTCTTCTCTTTACGCTGAACTCACACCCACCTGTCAAATATTTGAAATTTTTGATAATACCTTGAGAATGTACATCATGTTTTTTAATGAAAGTTCGTTTATTTAAATTTATTAATAAATGATTTAGACTACAAAAATAAACATGAAGTTCTTATTTGAATATTAATTTAAACAATTCTTGACGAAATATATGTCCTGTAAGTGTATAAATAAAAAACATCATTGAATTATTGATATAAGTTATTAGAATAACGAATTGTGCCACAAAATTTTCAATTTCTTTATGTTGCAATGATTTTTCTGTATGTGCAGTTAATGAAGCATAGAATTTGTAGAAGCCCATTGGTGAACTAAATATTATAATAGTACCAACCTAAAAATTAGCCATCGTTTTTTTCTACTCATTGATATTTTCACTTTGACTTACTTGGACTAATAACATCGTTATAATTTGTAGATCTTTTTTCCGTATTTTTGTATTAGCTTTTGATGATACATTTTGTATCATTGATGTATCTAATATTTGTTCAGTTTTCACTGATCTTACTTGTCGTCGACTCTGTCTTATATTTTTTAATGTTAAAAAGTCAAACGTAATCATTAACACGATTGGAATTGTTGTATAAAAGATCATTAATAAGAGACCATCAATAACTTGACATTGAATTGAAATTGTATAACATGATGCAACTGAATTGAAATTTCCATTATTAAAACAATAAATTGTTTCAGCAAATATGAAACATCCAAGAATAATTACAGCTGAAATAGCTCGATAAACTATTTTTTGCTTACAAAAATTTCGAAGAAAAACAGATACTGATGAACTACAAAAACGATCGAAACATCCTAGAGTAATAAACCATGATGTACAATAGAGACAAAGATACGACATAAAATATCGTATTTTACATAATGTTGATGAATATGATGTATAATCAAGATTATATCCATTTAATAAACGACTCATTAGACCAATATAAAGTGTAAATACACTTACAATTGATGATGATAATAAATATTGCACACAAGAATTTTTTCTTAAAGTTTTGCGAGCAAAAATAAGAATATTATTAAGTATATTTCCAAATGTACCCAATATAAGAAGTGGTACTGGAAAATACCGATTTATTGCCGATGCCTTATATGTCCAGTATGATGGAGAAGATGTATTAGACATTTTGTCTTATGTGTGTAAAATCTAAGTAAATAAAATTCATCAGAACTGAATGTTCCTATAATTTTCGAAGAATATATAATTCGTTATTGTATTCTCGAATCGAAATAGACAAACTCAAACTCATGAACTTTGTTCAAAATAGAGCCTTTGCTACACGCACTTGGAATATTTACTACTCCGATATCTGAAGTATGATTAGCAAAACAGAATAACGGATGTCTGCAATGTTTTTGTGAAAGTAATTTTAAAAATTTGAATTTATATAGTAGAGTATCTATCATCTCAAAATAGAAAGACCTTCTTGAACTGTACTCATCTCAAAAATACATCTTTCTTTGTAAAAACAAATTATTTCAATACGAAAATCGTCTTTTCCTACTTTTCAAATAGTAATTATGAGAAGATCATCTTGTGATAAACAAGCAGATTTTCATCTATATATATTGTAATAATACTTCCTAATTACACTTATTTTCTATTATTGAAGTTTTAACTTTTTACTCAGATATCTGAAGATTTTTGTTTTCTCTTACCTAATTCAAAAAGAAGGAAACAGCCATATACAATCAGTTTTTCTTTCATATCTGTACATCATTTAGAAACAAATTACATTATTTGGTGGGTACAGAGGGGGGGATTAAATGAAAAAGGTTCAAGTATGGCAGTACTGATATTACTCAGACATGTACTCGACTAGGTGGAGAAATTAAAATATTGAGTATTTGATCCAACCTGTTCATTGTAGAATTGTTATTTCTAAGAAAAAGAAATACTTTTGATGTATTAGGATGAAAAGATAATGTTTAAGAATTGTTTGTTTTCTGTAGATAAATGCTAAACCAGCAAGAATTTCTACGATAAGAAATAATCTAGACATTGATTAAGTTTTCATTGCTATTATTGTTTGAATATGATTAGGGCAAACTTTTGATTGAAATCATTTTACTTTTAAATTACGATTTCATAAAAAAAAGGATCAATGCATTAGATCTAAAATATTTAGTTAATAGTTCTATACCGAGGGAAAGCTAGATAATCGACGAGGCATGAGTTGCCTAATTCTACTTATATTATAAATGAGGGTGGGCTTAGGCAGAGCTGAACTTATCTCTATCTATTCCTAAGTATGTGTAGGAGTGTATTAGGAATTCGTCACTTATATTATAAGTCGAATTAGGCAGCTACTCACAATTTGGGTCTATGTCGTCACATTGATTATCAAAACCCGACTTACGTTCACGAATAATTGTTGGTTTATCGATACTATATGCTCTTTCTATCGATTTCAGTAACGATAAATAAAGAACGGTTCCATTTGTATTCACAGTACTACTAAGAAGATTCATTACATCGTCCGATATTAATTTGATACATGAACTATAATTCTGCCTATCTCTAGGGTTAATATCACTTTTCGTTAAACCATGACCTACCTTTGAATAAATATCCTTGTTGACCAATTCTTCTAAATGTGTAGTATACTAATTTTATCCCATCCAATATATAAAGAACCTGTTGAGGATAGTAAGCGGTCACGCCACTTCGTTACTATATGAATTGGATCTTGAAAGAACAAGAAAAGTTGTCTTCTGTCAAGAAAAAACTATGTCCAGTCGTTCGGTATATCGACTCCAAATGCATGTTGATGACTGTCTACTTTGAAATCGGGTAGTGATGCGAAAAAACGACTGGCAAGACGCATGGCACTGAGGTATTTCCTATCCGCATCTGTTTACAGCATGAAATATGAACAGAAATATAAAATGCACAGAGCTTACCTGTCGAAAAACCAATAATACGAACATCTTAGTCCAAGCAATGATTGGATATACACATCCATAGTTTTGAATTTATTATTGACGCCGTAAGCAGAGAGTAACAATGGTTTCGGAAAATTAGACGGATCATCTTCCGTTGATATGCTTTGGAACGTATGTACATTTAACAGTGGTGCTATTTCACTAGAATTATAAATAGCTTTAAAGTCGTCGAACGAACTAGCTAGCTTGATAATGTTCCATTTGCGGAATACCATCAATGATTGGCTACCCTCGGGATAACTCCAGTGGTATCTTCAGAGCAAAATCCAAATCCAAAGGGAAATCTTGAAGGGAATTAAACCTAAACTGTGCTTCGTTTAAGGTCATATTCAATTTGTTTATCAAATCATCAAGCGTTGTCAAAGCTAGTATACAATCAGACAGGTTTGAACGGACAAACTCGTAACATTGTTTACCACCAAGCACATACCAGCAAATTGCAAATTTCTTTACCGCTTCGTGATATCTAAAATGGTTTGAAGATTGCGTAATATTAAATACCAAATTATCACTGAACGTGACCAAAAAAAGAATTCATTTTGTTGTTTTCTGAATCAAGTTGTTCATACCATCTAACTAACGATTTCAGCAATGGATACTTGTCGATGAATTCATTTGTCACCGACCTGTGCTTAACTTCATCGTCTTCAACTATTATAGACCCTTGCTCTTGTTTTAATTTCAGCTCGAGTAGTTGGATGAAATATGACAAACCATTTTTGATCCAGGTTGTTTCACGACGTAATTTCCCTTTTTACGTTTAAAACAAGATTCTGCTTTGATCTCATCAGTTTCTTCAGACTCAATTTGAAGAAAGGCAAAAACGTCATGTGTATTTAATAGTTTTCTTGCGGAGTTTATCAGTTACATTTGTAAAATTTTGACCGCAGAATCACCAGCTATGACTTGAACAATTGAGAAAAAAGCTTTATCTACGCGGGCAAATATATCATTCGGTAACACCGAAAGATCCGCTCATGTACAAGCAGATTTGAATATGAACCTAAAAAAGCCTACTGATAATATGTTACGTGATCCAGCTTTTAACGATGTTTATTCATAAAAAAATGAACTATTCTTGCTGAGATTTTTACAAAAGAACAGAAAACATACTTAAAGAAAGCAAACGAGTGAGAAATCAAGTTGGCTACCACAACGACATCGAGATTATCAATACAATTAATTTATATG